TCATAGAGAACCTTATTAAAATTGTAAAGGAAACATTTCCAAAAATAAGAGGTGCGTTTTTACGCGACAGCGCTAGATGTTACCACGGCGGCCAATTGATCTACCAGAAATTTCAAAGAGAAGTGGCATCAATGTGCTGAGTCATGATTTCTCTGAMCCTCAATCTGGCAAAGACATTTGGGACAGGAAATCGCAACAATGAAGTCTCATATCAAAATATGGGTGAGTGAAAAGCATGATGTGCTCACAGCTTCTGATAAAGACTGCCCTAGAGTCGCACAATGGGGCCAAAGGTTGCAGAGCTGCTGTGTTAAAAGCTGATCCCTCAACAGAGAACTGATAAGACCAGTAAAGAGATCCCTGGAATAAGTCTTTTTAACAACTTTGCCTTTACTAATCGCCCCATGCAAGAGAATCCAGAGAACTAGGGGATTCCGGATTCGATTAAATCAACAAAATATCAAAACTTTGACTGCGCGTAACTCTAAAGTTACAATTTGCCCCATTCAAATTTTTTTGGATTTCCAWAGTGATGATAATGGGCAATCGAAATATAGTGGATGATCGTAAATAAACAACCGCACAAWYGAGAAACACGCATTCAAAGTTCCCCAAAAATCAGTGTTTGTTAAATCACGATAAACTATGGTCTAATTAAAAATCTGTAAAATGTTCCCAATTTAAAATAACTGAGTTTTAAAACGCTCTAAGTAATTCTGAATAGATGTGCAATTGGCTTGTAAARTTTYATTGACAAATATTAAAGTTAAATAATATTTTCGAGAGCTTAGATTTGCGTTATTTTCATAAGATATTTTGACCATTTTACGGCCAAAACCGAGGGGGGTGGTCGATCTCGGAAACTAAAAGGACTAGAATCATTTAAATACCACGGTTCTTATTTATTTGCGATGTAGATTGTATGCTGATAATATAAGGTAAATCGGCCGACCCCCATCTTTTGGACCTACCCGGTTTTCTCAGACAACGTCTCTTAAAA